ATAGCACTTTTAGGTGTGCCAATATGATTTACAAGATAAACCTAGAGATTTCAAATAGGCATTCTTAGTGTTAAAGACATTTTGACCTGTTGTGGTCTTTCTGAGTTATTTGCAACAGAAGAATTGCTCTGTTATTTTTTTGTAGCCAAAAAAAAAGTGAAAACTAGGAGCTATCATTTTCCAAGGGGTGTCCTGAGCCTAAAAAGGTTGAGAAACACTAGTTCAAGGCATTTAGCAGTAAGGAAGCTGAAACAAATGTTGAAATTCCCTCCCCTCTTTTGTGTACAGGGTCATCACCAACCTCAGTTATCACAGGCTGAGTGCACACATTCAGATGACCTGGGAGATTTCTCTCAGGCTTATTCTCATGGTGGATGAACTTACCCAGATCCATGTGTACAGACATGTGAATACTGAGACCCTAAAGAGTAGAGAGCTTGCAGCTGACACTGCAGCCAGATTGGGGTCCCTGTGCACGCAACTCAGTATGATCTGCAGGCTCCCTTAGTCTGCTTGGCAACAGATGGTAGCAATTGATAGAGAAGCCTTGATTGGGCTAACCAAGACAGCCCATGATAAATGTGTATTGTCAGCATGTACAGACATTCTTTCTCCCAGGATAAATTCTCCTGGAAGTGATTTTAACCCTGATTGTGCCCAAGATATTTTTTTCTCAGAGTGGCCACTTTTACTTTAAAATATCTGTATACTTGTGGTTTCTCTTGGAAGAGCAGGGATTCCTGGGAGAAATTGAATGCCTGTACAATGCCACAGTGAGATTTCAGAAGTAGTGTGAAAAACGTTGGACTTTCCCTCTCTACAGGAATTGTATTTCACTTGGTCAGAATCAGATTTATCCAATAGCTTGCATAAAATCACTTGCAGATACAAGAATTAAAACACCAGGTTTCTGACTACCTTACCAACAAGGCCTTCTCTTTCCCCAAGGAAAAATTTAGCAAATGTCTATTCTCCACTTAGACTTTTTTAGAGTGAAAAGAATCAAAGTGTGAGATTAAAGAAATGCACTGACCTAATGAGATTTGAGTTTCTGGCCATTTTCTTTTACATTCTAAAAAGGGGGAAAAGGAAAGTAAAACGTCTTTTTGATATTTTATTTTTAAATTTGATAAGAGTGAAGCTAATGTGGGATTGCTGGTCCAGTAGGAAATAGAACTCAATTTTACATTTTTTTAAACAATTTTACTGTATTAAAAATGACAGAGGTTAGAAACAAAGCTCTTATACTTTTATTGAACTGGAATTGAAAGTGACAGAAAATCATTTTGGCCCTGGTGCAGTAAATGTTATCACTAAAACATGTTCTGGGGAGATTAGGACAGTCTCTCAAGCTCAAGAGACAAAAGTTCACAGAACACAAAGTGATTTTTTTTTTCCTGTCCCCATCTTAGAATCATTAGCTGCTCCTGAGACAAAAGTATCTCTGCTCTTGAGGGGTGCTGGGCTAGGTGAATGGGGAAATGAAAATGTCTCTGCTCTGAAAGGAGCTAGGGTTGAGAGTACAGAGAATGGAGGTCTCTGCTTGAAGATGATAAAGAATGGGAATAATGGAAGACTGTGGTGAAAAGCAAGAGCCAGTCTTGTCATTGTGTAAAAAAGGCAGGTTCCAGGATCAGACTTGCAGGTGGAAAAATTCTGAACCTTGGGGCATTTCAGGGCAGAAAGGATGCTGATGTAGTTGCGCATATCTTTTGTTTGTTACCCCATGTATCTAATTTATCCTGTCCACCTACTGTCTCTTCCTCTAGATCAGTGGTTCACAACCTTTTTTTAGACTCAAGGCACCCCTTACTAGGTTTAAGTAGGAAATAGAAATACCAGATTTAAAATGGGAATCTATAGTGTTGAAAAAAATCTGTCCTGTTGTGGGCTTTCTGAGTTCTTTGCAACAGAAGAATTGCTTTATTGTTTTTCTGTAGTCAAAAGTCAAGTGAAAAATAGGAGCTGGCATTTTCTGAGGGGCGTCTTGAGTCTAAAAAGGTTGAGAACCACGGGCATACATGATGAGTTTCTTATCTATTTCATAAATATGATGCTTGCTGAGACGGGAAATTCTGGTGGAAGAGATGTACAAATGACATAATGTTGATGGGAGGGAGGACACAAGGTTGTGTCCACATGTGCAAGCAAATGCGCTTGCAGCAGCTCAAATAGAAGCGGTGCAAATTTGAGCCAGGGCTTTTTGCCTTGGTGCACGTGCCCCGACATGCACTTTGTTGTGGAGAAAATTGTGCCACTTAGGGCAAAATAACCCTGCCTAGCTCCTCCCAGATCTGCAGCCAGGGGGAGCTAGAGCCCAGGGCCAGCACCTGTGCTGTCCCCAGCAGTATAAAAAGCTGCCCTGTCCTGGCCCCGTCTATACAAAAATTTGCCCTGGCAAGCAGCTCAGGGCTACTTTTTCTCAGGAGCTTCTGGGGCCCAGCCACTTGGTACTTGGGGACACTACCCATTGTGCCAGCTGGACTGCTGCAGCAGCATCCTAAATCCATTTTTAAAAATACCCCCAAATCCATGTTTTTTCACAATTAAAACAAAAGGCCACACACGCACACACTTGAGAGAGAGAGTGCGATCAGTTGGGCAATGCTTTATTGGTATATTTACAATGTTAAAGCAATGTGGAAGCGTACCAGTGTCTCTATCATCATAATAAAATAAATTCTAAATATCTATATGTGTTGATGTATGCTTTTGGTTTTCTTTGCACATGATGGGTATGTGACGGGGGAGATGTGGTGTTTGCAGGAAGGGGGTGGGAATGGGTGTGGGGGGATGCGGGTAGGTGTGGGGGGATTGCTGGGGGGACTGTGGA